CAAATGTGCGCACACACAAGGCCGCATGCTCACATACACACTCACCGCCTCAATTTGATAAGCACTAAAGCAGGTGTAGTGAAATCCTGCACATGCTAGGCGTCCACGCAAACACCAGATTTTTGTCCAAATACACACGTACGCAGACTCACCGAGGATTAGCCTCGGCTTCTCATAAACTCCGTGACTCAACAGTGAGAGCTTGTGTTCTGCTCCCCCATGCAGTGACCCATCGTCCTCCCTCTGGCTTTGTGAGTGCTCTGCTCTAACCGCGAATGAATAGCCACTTGTTCAATAAACCCGGGACGCTGCTTAGGTATCATAGTTGTCTGCACAGTATTATTCTAAGTGCTTATATTAAGAAAAGCATCAGGACATTGTCTGACTCTCTGCTCCTCAGCTGACGGTCCTGTACCTGTGAGTGGTCTGTGGAGATTTGTGGGAGTCTGACTTTGATTCATGTCTTCCTAATTGTAATAGACCTGAATCCTCTTAAAACAACATGTGGATAATTCTTATGCACACACAGACCCACATATACAGAGGCGTGTGTGCATGCACGACATAGAAATACACACACACACACACACTCCACACACAGGTAATTGTGCCCACCTGGGAAAACATCATTTAGTCAGGCGCCCCTTCCTTCTACTAACACTGCTCTTACAGCATGGTGCGTGTGTGTGTGTGTGTGTGTGTGTGTGTGTGTGTGAGAGAGTGTGAATGTCTGTGTGTAAGCATGACCTCCGTTACCCTTTATATGCTCTTTGATCCCAAATTGCATTTGACTATCAACACTCTAAGCCCTAAACCATCCAATTACAATACTGTATTATATCGGCTTAGCAGTTCAAGGCTTTGATGAAAATGAGTGTGCTTCTCTGTGCAGACAACCAACCATGTTGTAGTATAGTCCACCATCCAACCCTAGTCTTCCACATGTCAAAATACATACTTAACAATGTAATAATGAAAATAGAATAGCCCTTTGTTGTTTCGGTTGTTTTCTTGTCTCCTACCTTGTAAAAGTACTGGCTTCTAGGTGCAGATTAGTCCATATATATTATTGTAACGTACTCACCAAAGCCTGTGCTGACAGCTGCTGTGTTTAGGTCAAATTCCTTCACAGTCTGCTGAATGTACTTTAGACTACATAAATCTGTTTGCAAGCATGTACTTCAAGGCTTGAGGCACAAACATTTCACAGTGAAATTTATTGTACGTGCTGTATAATGGCTCAGGAGGAGGAGGACAACGGTTGAAAGCACCCAAGCAGTGATGGAAATTCATCTGCTCTACTGTAACAGCTGTGTGTGTGTGTGTGTGTGTGTGTGTGTGTGTGTGTGTGTGTGTGTGTGTGTGTGTGTGCGTGCGTGCGCGTGCGTGCGTGCGTGCGTGCGTGTGTGTGCGTGTCAAGTTGTTTGAGCTTTGATCCGACTATGATGACTGACAGGCTGCAGCATCACTTTTAAACTTTAACGCATTAAAAGTAGTTTCGGAAAAAAAAGTTATTTCAAAGCTTTAAGTGAATTTCTACAAAAGTCAGCAAAATAAAATACAATATGTTTTTTTAGCAACTAGAATTTATCAAATGTGGCACGATTACTAAATTAAAGGAGTAGTTTACTAGAATAGAAAGAACTGTGTGTTTTCTGTAGTATGTGATTGTAATTTAGCATCTTTCTTTTCAATAACTAACTCATTAATGATATTCAATATTATTCAAGGGGACTAGCCAGCTCTCTCGATAATGTTTAAAGTTGGCTCTAATCGTCAAATGTTACACGTCTCTATGAATGTAGACCTTCATACCGGTACAAATGTACAATGGTGTCGCTTTCCCTGGAAGATAAACTGGCAAAACTTCAAACTGCCAGACAGCAGAGCAGTTCTACTAAACAGAGAAAACACACTTTCTACATATTAAGTCAGATAGATGAAGTATCAAAGTATTAATACAAGCATACCATGATGTGTACATCCTTTTCTTTCACACCTGCAACACAAAGAATGAAGGAGCCACGGACGGATAGTTTACTGCATAGATGACTCCAGCAATGACGTAAAGGCCACAAGTCTCATGACACCTGCTGTGCTCCTTTTAATAAGCACAAACTGATGCCAACAATCACACGCATGTGAGTATGCCCATAAACATGGGTAGGTGATCTGGTTAGGCCTTAACTATCTTTGGCATCTCCTCTGCTCTGGTGGCTGCTGTGCCAGGCCGCCCAGGCTGCCATACCATCTGATACAAATTGACACCACTAGCAGCTGTTCCTTAACCTCAGTCATGTTAGTATATCTGGCTGTTTTTTTTTTTTTTTGTCTAATGCATGATGAGCTTGTGGCTTTGCATACTCTTGAGCTACACATTGACGTCCAACATTCATGATATGTAATGTTCAAAATGCACAAGAGGCAGACCGGTCACAGCGGTCGGCACTATTTTACCAAAACCTTTCCACAATTTGAGTGACGCTTCCTCACTCCTACACCAACACTGAGCCCTACATCGTCTCCAGTTTGTCCAATTGCTGTCCTCCATTTGGTTGCTGCACCTTGTCATCATCTCAGTGTCCATAAATCCTCAAATATACATGCGATGGGTGATTATTTCTCACTTCTCTCCCCTCTCTATTTCATGCCCTTATTGCTTTTGTTGACGTTCACAAGTTTTCATGATAGGGGATCCTCTGCTGCCATCTACTGGTTTAAATAGATACTGTTAGCAGGTTCCTGAAAGGTATTTTTAAAGAGGTTTTCTCCTTTTGGAATTTAGTAAATAGTAAGTTATGGACATTAGTGTGCCATATTAAATTATTATCTTAAAGCTATACATATTTGAAGCAAAACAGTTTAAAAACAAAAAGTGTAAAGCTTTCCTCCTCTCTCACACAAAGACAACAATAGAATGGTAAGTATATTGATGCTCAACATCTGGCATTTATCACATGACCTTAAAGCCTGAATCTGATGAAGAGAGTGTACCATTTTAGGTTTACAATATATGATCACAGGTGAGTTCAGCATGTGAGGTAAAGTATTTCATAACAGCAGATCCTTAATGTAACTCGGCAAAAAGCACGCAATCTATGACCATGTAAACAATCACAGCAGGCTTCTTGCAACGCCAATATAATACAATTTGGAACAATTTTATAAATGACAATTAAGATGAATGATTACTGTGTTTTGAGAAGCCCCAGTCATTAGAAAGGTATGGAAACATACATTAGTATAACACTCTCATTGGGGAGGTTATAGGGATGCCTGAAGTCCAAAGATGTTCCCAAAAGTATACTGTGTCCAGAAGATGGCAGTCTAAGAATGCTACATGATGGTTGTGTTAGAGTGGGTCCCGGGGAGAGTTTTGGGATGGTAATGACATGTACAGTATGATGTAACATAAGAGAAAGAGTGATGCGTTGCTTTTTGCAGACGACTCAATGAGATCTTCCGAATAAATAGCTTTTAAAGTATAATGTAAAAAACATATGTCTTTCTATTGGCTCATCTGTCCAATATTTATGTATAGAGGGATGAAGAGAGATGTTGGAATGCACAGTATAAACTGTTGATTATAGCCTTCACACTTTTACATCACCCCCGGAAAAACAGTCATGCTAATATACGGTAAGTGATCTGCGGGTGGATGGGAAACATGATGGGATCAGCTGGAACACGATGTGATTTCTTTCCTCCTCTCAGCCCGTCGAGCTTTTTCACATCACAGTTTGGGCAGCCGTCCAACAAAACAATTAACAAGTATGGGAATCCCGGCCCTGCTCTCATGCAGACCCCTCCCTACCCTTCTCTATCTCTCTTCCTCTCTCGCTCTCTGCAGCTGGCCCCGAGAGAGAGGCGGCCAAGTTTATTTTCTCCACGGTGGTCCCTTTGAGGTGGCGGCGAGGCCCCTGCCACGCCGCCGCTGATGTATTAGGTGAGGGTCCTTGAAGAGATGTCGGACTCTTTTATTACTACAGCACTCAATCTTATTGTTACTGTCCTTTTCACATATAGGAAAAGTAAAGGAGTAAGTGTGATTTAGGTCATCCACATCCCTCCTGTTAGTCACTGAAAAGTAGTGATGAATAAAGCAAAGTTAGCAGCCTCAAAACTAATGGAAATACCTCCATGGCAAGAAAATTCTGTCTCTTGGTCAGAACCATGTGATGATGTTTGAGAGCTGAAAAAAAGCTTGTAAGTGGACCTTGAATTAGTATTGTTTTACTTATTTATTATTATAAAATGTTACGCTCAGTTTAAATATAACTGAAATATAAAATATTTGTGATTGGTGGATACAGAATATTTTTTTAAATGAAACTGTTTCACGTGCTTATCATTGGTGTCAGATTAGTAAATTAGTAAAATTAGTAATTTCTTATAATACACTCAAAGAATAGAAAGTATCCCCCCTCATTAGGAAGTCGAATGGCTCAAGGCAGTTATAGATTATGGAATTATCATTACAGAGGCATTACTGTGTAAGCAGCATTTTAACAGTACCACTGAGGTCACTGAGGTCATGTCCTGTGAAAATATTTTTATGAATTTAAAGGTTTTAGTGTCGTGGCCTGAAGTGATTCTGTACTGTACTAAGAAAACACGCGTGGGTTATTTATGCTCATTCCTATATGAAATATAGATGGAAGATATTTAAATTGAACCACATTTTCAATAAAAATAAATCAGTTTTTCTCATTTGTATAATCTTGGCCATAGCCCATCCTAACTATAATTGTAGATAGTTACTTCGGGTGCATTTTGATCTATAACAATGTATCATATTTTATTAACTTATCAAAGGTTCTGTAGGCTAAATGTAACCAGTAGCTATAAGTACATAGTGGAGTAGGCTGCAATATTTGCTTCTGAAATATAATTGTAAAGAGGTAGCATGAAATAAAAAAATATGACAATAAAGTAAGTAGGCTAAATGTCTCACATTACCCCCCCCCCCCCCCCCCCAAAAAAAGCAATGCAATTTTGCTTGCTTGTACGTGTGTTGGAACATGGCCTTTAGAGTGGAGTGCTTTTTTTTGCAGGATGCCTTCTTAAATAGTGAATGAACAATTTATGTTACAGAGAGAGTAGGCATATGCGAGATATATAGATATATACAGAAAGGGGGTGAAAGGAGAGGGAATCCATGTAAAAAAAAAAAAAAAAAGAGCGAGAGAGAAAAAAAGACAGGGGCCGCGTGTCAGCCTGCATCAATAACTGTCTGCATGATGTAAACATAGCGGTCATAACCCGGGCGAATTAAAACAACTGGTCTGGGCGGGATTAAAGCTCAGCCCGCAGGTTTTCTTTAAAATGTCTAAAATGTCCTCTGACCTCCAACAACTCGCGCCGCACCGCTCTTCACTTCTGATTGGCTGACTCCAAAATAGTCCATCCAATCAGTGCACATCAGTGACAGTTAATACAACTCACACTTGACACTAACTCCGAAGTGATATTTTTCAGAAATAAATGTGTGTTGTGTCGCTGTTGGCATTACATGAACTTGTATCATTTATGGCCTAACAATTGGTCAGATATTTAAAAGAGAAATTAAACCAGTATTCGCTAATTATAAATCAATAGAAATGGCAGAAAGATAAACTTAATTTGATTTGCTTAACACTAACTGCATTTAATTTAGGTTCCAAATAATCTTTGAAGGCAGGAGTTTGTTTATGTAATGACATCCACGTCCACTGTTATCTTATAGAAACAACAGAGAGACACTTATCTGCACTGACGCTTCGTTGGTGCTCAGGTTCTGCTATTCTGAAGGAGTGGAGTGATAAGAGGGGTTACTAGGTCAGAGCACCGGCCCACACACGCAAATGAAACACAATAACTTAATAAAAAAAAAACATTCAACACACAAGGTGTAAAAGTGATACAGATATATTTTATATACATGTAATCTGTACAATTTGAGACAGTGGCCGCGTTTCACGTGCACATCCATCCATCATAATGCAGCAGCCGAAACAGGCCTGCATGAGTAAAAATGCATCTGCAGAGTATTAAAAAAAAGCAATTGAAAGCACGCAGTTTATCTTTGAACCAGCAAAGACAACGATAGGTGGCAGAATGCATTTAAATAAAAGTTAAAATTGTCTTTACGGGAACGAAGGAGACAGGATACTGTCTCCGTTATTCCCACTCAAAGTCTGCGGAGATGAGACGTTCAGGTCTGTCACAACCTCTTTTTTTTTTTTTTTTGTCTTGGATAATTATTGCCCCTTTAAAAAAACGCACAGACGTGTCCGCTTGGTTTCGTCAAGACGCCGTCGTTCCACATAACCTTGTGGTGTTCAGCATCTCCTTCAAATCGTTATCCGGCTTACCTGCAACCATGAAAGGCCACGTCTGCGGAGGGAAACACAGTCAGTTAACACCAACAGCTTCTTGGGATGTTAATTCATCAAGCAATCAAATCGAAGTTAAGCAAAAGCTCAGGCCAATTATATGTCAATTAATCACCTGCATGGATCAGGTGAACATAATGAAGAATGGACTATCGCCATATGTTTATGATTAATAATCGTATAAAATGTAGCTTAAGTGTTTTTGCATATCTTTATCTCCTATGTCCTGACACAACAACATTTCAAAGGGTTATTTGGAGATCTGCTAGGCTATGATATTTAATATTGCACAATTGTTTAAGGTATTTTTATTTCATCATTTAAGGCCCAGTGTTACTGTATCTGCATTATTTTGAAAAATGAAAGACCTACATGAAGGCCAATTTGTGGTCTTTGTATTCATTATGCCTCATAAAGGGTAATACTTTCAGTCAGATTTTTTTCCTTGCAGTCAGCATAAATAGGAACAGTTTTCCCCTCTTATGCACCTGCTTCACAAAGCTATCATCTTGGTACCATGAGGCCTAGCAGGAGTCTGCAACCCTTGTTAAAATCCTCATCAATCTATAAATTACAGTCCCTATAGCCTTGAATGAAAAATAATGTTCACATTATTAAGCAAACATACTATCATGAATATTTTAACAAAATCCAATTAATTTAATTATTTTTCAATAGCCTAGATACACTTTCAACTGGGTTCCCCCTTCACTCTATCCCCCAGGCTCACCAGGTTAACGGGGTGGATATATCCGTTTTCATATTTGTCGTTGGCCAATATCTGCCGGAGGTGCGCGATGTAACTGGACGCCAGGCGCAGTGTGTCCAGTTTGGAGAGCTTGGTGTCCGCTGGTACCCAGGGTAAGGTCGTCTTCAGCCGGGAGAAAGCTTTGGACAGGACGCGCATCCTGGCTCTCTCCCGGGCGTTGGCCGCGTTCCTCGGCCCATGCTTGCCCTCCTGCTGTGCCACACCCTTGGATGCCGTTTTCCGGGACGCTGTTTTCCGTTTCTTGCCCGGCGCGTCGTTTGAGCAAGTGCCCTCGCAGTTGGAGCTCTCCTCCGTGCTCTCGTTGGAGTCTTTACCGGAGGAGCCAAACTTCAGGATGCCGTCCAGGAGCTCGTCGTCGACATCGCTGAGAGACCCGGTGGACATGGTGAACTGTCTCCAACTGGAGCGGGCTCAAAACATGGGAGCAGGACGCTGAGGCTGGACAGGAACGAACAGGGTGATCAAACACACGCCTTGGAGATGTGTTCATCAACGTGGAGAGAAGCAGAGAGGAACGGACTTTATATCTTCATATGGCTAGAGAGGGCGTTACCTCATGCTGGGAGGAGACACTGGTGCTGATCCAGCATGCTGGTCCCAAAGGGTTCCAGGACCCCAAGAGACCCTGGATGGGAGAATATGTAGTTTACTTTAACTGCAGTTTAACTCACTGAGTATTCACTCGTTTCAGACAATTGCAGAGAGATTGTTAATTTGGCCTACAGAATCGTTGTTGTTTACATAAGGAACACCTTGAACCATTAGCTTCATGGGGGCTGAACTTTACTTTGTGAACGAATGGACTACCTGTTTAGAATCAAAGGGCTCAATCTGTAATATTCACATACCAAGATTTTAATCTTTGACCCTTTGTCCATCCTGACTGATGTGGTTACAAATATTACTGATGTAAAAATAAAATTATTAGTGATATTTTTTTTTTTTTGAAGTGGTGGCACCTTTTTGGTGCATCTTTAAAACCTGAAGAAAAATGACCAATTATTTTTCTCCCAAACTTTGGTCAACTTGATTTCTATGTTTAGTTTTGTAGATGTTATTGATATAACAATGTTGATTCTCATAATATTTAAATTGGATTTAAAAAAGGCTAAATTGGAATATTTTGTTTTCTACAATATGTTATCTTAAAAAGCTGCTGCTGCTCCTTAGATCCAAATTTGCAAATCAAAAACACTTCAGAGTGCTACTTTTAAATAAATCATAAATCAATGTATTTAATACTTATGATATTGTACACTCAACCTGACAATTAAAATTCCAAAGTATTTGCTATTAGCCTGTTCCACTCACAGGGCCACGTAACTTTCAGCACATCTAGCCAGTTAACAGGATAAAGTGCAAGGACAAGGGGGTGTCACGTCTCAAATGGCAAACTGGCGCCTTGGTCCCCTCTGATGTAATGTATACCCGGCACCCACAATCCCCTGTTTGGCCTTCCACATCATTCCACACCAATGCTCCACGCACGGGTCCACTCAGGGCCAAGTCCAACCAAAACGTCTCTGAAGCTGCTTTATGTGGAAAATACGGATGATAATCATGTGCATCTTGCAGACTTCTTATATATAAATTGTTCATTGTGAGGCTGAAACATGTGTTGTGTGCCTAAAGCAGCACATTTTCATGAAGCTGTAGATCTCTCTTGCTGGGATGCAGGATTTTCTGTGTGTGTGTGTGTGTGTGTGTGTGTGTGTGTGTGTTTGTGTTAGGGTTTATGTCTGAATCCACATCCACAGCTGAAGCGTGTGCACGGATGAGAGGTGTGTCTCTTGAGAGCTGACCTTTAACTCCTTTGCTTCCGGTGTCACATTGCATCTAAACAGGCACCACCACTACCTTTTAACCACTAGAATTGACACAATACAGAAACGCACTTAATGTGGAGCTGCATTTCCAGTCGGAAATTAGTGACATCTCGAAAAAAAATGATGGATATTACAAATCCAAAAGAGGAGAACGCAGTTTGGTTGGAAATAAGTTCACAGGACTGATGTTGCAAGGAAAAGAGAGAGAGAGAGAGATGGCGCTACACATAGCAGATGGAAGAAGAGGAAGAGGAATAGATAGGTGAAGGGACAGAGGGGAGAGGAAAGAGAGAAAGGCTGGGGCTTAATCTCCTGGGTGGGCTGGAAATCAAAGCACTTTGTGGAAAAGTAATAATAGTCTGCTAGATTGATGATCACCTCTGAGATACATGGATCCACCAGAGAACAACAGAGAGAGTCAGGGAGAGGGAGACAAACTAAAATAGCTCACGAAACAGAGCACGGCCCTTTTTCTCCCCCGTGTGCGTCGATAAATCGCAGACCCTGATGGAATGCCATGAAAACGATGATACTTGCAAAAGCTCTTCATGTGAACGGCAAAACAGTGTACGGCGAGCGTTTAGGAAACCTTCTCTGTGACCGTTTTTTCCTCCAGTTACACAGTGACGTGAGGCAACAGGTGGAGAGGGGGGCTAGTGAGAAAGATGGGGAGAGAAAAAAGAGGGGACCCTGGCAGTTATGGAAGGACGAGCTGCTAATTAGCCGGTTTGTGGTCAAAGGTTAGGCTGGTTGTGTGATGTCACCACGAAGGGACGGGTTCCAGATGTTGCTTGCAGGGCCACCGAGGGGGACATTTGATGCCTCGGGTCATTATCATTTCTCGCTCTGTCACACACACATGCACACAGACACCTTTTGTTAAATGTTGAGAATCGGTGGAGCTACGTTGTTAAATCGTTATGGGAATGTCCTTTAGGGGAAACAATTACATTGTATCTGTGATGACTACGCTAGTGATTGGTTTAGATGTGTCTGCTTAAGTGTACAATCACAGTTCGTACCATCCACACTGTCGGTACCAAAATCTTTAATTGGTGTAGGGGAGCACTCCTGGATTCCATCCACAACTCCAGGCTTCTAAGGTCGTTGTGATTTTGTGAGTCCGGTTATTTGTCATCACCACAACTGGACCCATGAAAGAGAGTCGGGTAACGCTAGCTAGACTCACTTCAAATTTTTTTTTTTAACTGGATATTCTCACAGTCAGACTTCACTTTCACAAAAACTACTTTTCTCGTCTTCTTTCCTCACCCAATCTTTCCAACATTAACTAACAAAAGGCAAAAACCCAAGGGGCCGATATAATAGAGGAACAGTCGAATAATGTGAGAGAAAGAGAGCATAATCTGAAGCAAAATATTATTTTATTTATTGGCAAAACATTCCACTTGTATTTTCCTGTGATATATAAAAACAAAAATATGACAAAAGAAAGAAAGTAGTTCCTTGGTGGCTGGAAAGAACAGAATGAGAAACTGTAATCTTGGAGTGAGGCTTGGGGTGAGAAAAACATCATCCATCCATGTCTAAGCACTCCAGTTCCCTGTCCCTTATCACAGCCATACTCCCCCAACACACACATGCACACACCCACACACACACACACACACATTCACAAACACACTTGTGCACAAATTGGTTTCCGCTTCAGTTCAAGTACCTCTAAAAAAAAAAAGAGGAAAAATCAGAGAAACAACTAAAAGAGAGGTTGCGGAAAGTACAGCAGGGAGTGGAGAAAGCAGGGGGAAAAGGATGTGACGGACAAACTAGGCAGTAAGAGAGAATTATGAAGATGTTTATGGAAGTGGGAATATGATATTATATTTCAAAAAGACCACAATCCTTTGATATTCAGTGACAGGAACATCCGGGGGGAGGCAAACAGTGATCCTCCAGAATAAGAATGATATTCTGTCACAGTGTCGGTTAATGACCTGGAAGTCTTGTCCTTACAGTGTGAGGGAGAGTATTGGTCTCTGGAATGTGTGCACATTATCTTCATAAGTGTGTGCATCTGTGGGAAATGTATTGGATTTCACAATATGTGTGAAGGATGAGAAATTGTGTGATATGTTGGAGAATGTTAGAATCTGTAAAATGTTCCTGCAGGGCTGCTTAACTGTTTTTCTTCAACTCCAAACACTTGGCCAATTGCTGCGTGAAGTGGGCACACTTGTCTGTTTTGGGGAGGTGTTTCAGCCCAACGAATCTGACAAGCACTTATCTTTTAAAGCATACTGACCCCTTAAGAGGTAACAAAAAACAGTTGTCTTTCGCTTAACTGCAACACAGTCCCTGACCCGGTCATCGTCTCCCAAAAGCCCAGTTTTTCACTTGATGGCAAGGTTGTTTTCAGATTCATGTCCAGTCTTACAGTTCAGCTGTAAGGCTCAGTTTTTAAATATGAAAAATCCACGTGGATGGAAGGCCACGAATGACAAAAAAAGGATGCTCCCTGCAGAGAGTTTTCATTTCCTGCGTACAAATTTAATGGAGAGCGCAAGACGCGAAATTTAACGTTTTGCGACAAGTTCAAAATGTTCCAGATTAAGCAAAATGTGTACACGTATCCTTGAATTTGTGTCATAAATGCAGAAAACAGTGGAAAATAGCAGGAAGAACTGATTAGGTAGTGGTTAGTTCTTGGATCAGTCAGAAGCTGAGCTGAACACAAGCACACGGGTACACTCTCACACGCGCAGTTAGCTTGTTGCTGGCTGCTTGGGGCAAATAAACACAAACAGCACGGTTAATACGCAAAAAAACTGTCTTTCTGATCACACCTTTAGTAAACTGATCCTCTACTTAAAGGTTCTTTAAAGCCATTTGTAAAGAAAAGAGGACATGTCAAAGAAAGACAGATGGAGGTCAGTAGCGAATCAACCGTGGGAAAGAGGAATAGAGAGAACTGCAGACTGCAGAGACACCACCAAAGAGATTCACAACATTTTGGTCTGAATTTGTGTCTGAAATGTTCAACAGGCACCGCTGCATTGATAGCTGGGCTCAAAATACACATACACACACCGTTACTTAAGTCGTATTGGCTTGAACTTGAATTGGCAAAGTGCCCAAAGTGGCCTGTCGGAAGTAAGTGAGACGCGATGCAGCTGCAGTTCGAGTGTGTTTGTGTGTGAGGCTGAGCATGTGTGGTGCTACAGTATGGCACTTTTCTAACCTCTGTTGCAAACTCTGGTCTAACTTGTGGCCTGGTGATCGGATGCACAGATAAAAACTGTGTGTGTGTGTGTGTGTGTGTGTGTGTGTGTGTGTGTGTGTGTGTGGCTTCACTTGTCAGCACTGGGCAGTAGGGCAGTGTAGGACAGTGCCGGGTTTCAGAGTCAAAGGTCTGGTCTCTGTCACTGTGATTGAGGCCACAGTTTATAAACAGAGAGAATGGACACTGCTCAGTTTTCTATCTCACACAGTTGAACAGTATGTGTGTGTATGTGTGTTTGTGAGGTGTGGTCCTCCAACAGACCAGAACTCCCAGCACCCTACTAAATCCTTCACAGCAGCCCCCCCATCCTCCACTGTCCTCCACTACTAACTCCACTCTCTGTTGTTGGATGTCTGGTCACCTCCATCTAGCCAAAACAAATAGAGTCAAAACAGTTGAGAAAAAAACAAGC